GGGGGGGGGGGGGGGGGGGGGGGGGGGGAGGGGGGGTGGTAATCGCCCAAGGTCCGTGCTGGTAATCAAAGAAAGAAAATAAAAAGGGTTCAGACTGTTGTGACGAATATTTTTTTTAAAAATAAGTCAAGGTCAGATTTAAAAGAAGTCATGTGAATAACTGTATGTATAAAAAGCTGCCTGTGTTTCATCCCCAAGCTGTAAACACAGACAGCACCAGACGTGATTAGGGGCGGGAATCATCAGTACAGCCCCCTAACCACCATGTTTGTATGAATATAGCGCAGTCGCAAAATGAGATAAGATAAAAAAGCATGCAAAGAAAAGAGGTTAAAGAAAGTTTAGCACCCTACTTTGGTGGCTTTGCCTTCAAAAACCTTGTAAATTAGTAAATTAATCCTGCTTTATTTTCGTTTTTTTGGGCTAAAACCATTGCATGCATTTATATATGCCCTGCTTGATGGATAAATGTGTCACCATGTATCAAATATGATTTTATTTTTTTATTTTTACTTGTTACTTTTGAGTTACAACCTTTTTCATAACCACGAATATTCAAATATAAATTAATTTAAATGAATACCCTCCTGAATAACTGTGAAACAAACCTTTCTCTCATCCGGCGCATCAGGTTGTTGTGCAAAACGAAGCGCACTACGAAGCGATGAAAGAACGACCAGTCGAAGATCTTTCTCTTCGTGCAGCGTTTTACCCATAATTGGAGCCAGTGTTGGGAAAATTTGTTCAAAATCGGTGGCTGTGCTCAAAAAATTCGGCAACAAATCCCATAGTTGTCGCTGAAAAACAAGCTATTTGAGCAAAATTTTTGGAAATTTCATATACATGGACAATGGAACTCCATCAAAAAACCATGCAATTGTGTATTTCTGCGACGTTTTCGGCACAGAATGGGCAAAATGCCTCAGCACAGTACATACACCAATTATACTTGAACATTTTTTTGTCAATCCATTTAAAAGAAGACGAAACGAACGTTAGGATCATCAGCACAGCTGACCACTGGACACTGGTCAAAGCAAAACAACTGGGCT